ACTGAGTTAACCTCCAACTCAGTGAGTTGAGGCTAACTAACTCCAAGGCTAGTTCCAAGGCTACATCCAAAGCTCGCTCCAAACCTAGAAACTCCGAAGCAAAACTCTATATAAGCAAATCATCACCATTTCACAAAGGACCCTCAATCATTTTCCTAAATTCTTCATTGATCACTCTCAATTCTCTCACATTCTCTCTGATTTTTCTGCAACTTTCTCTCACATTCATCTCCATCGTCTTCCCAAAACCTCACAAAACTCAATTTCTACCATTAGAGTGTAACAATCTTCACGTTGAAATTGTTATTCTCTTGAGCTAAACCTCATTCCACCATATTCCTACTTGGACTTCTGGATATACAGTAGCTTCTTCTCCAACTCAAGTAATCATCTCAAGCTTCTTCGGTGCAAGTCGATATTCAGAGCATTTATCGTGTTTTTATCGATTTCTCTATGATTTGATGTCAAGTGTGGAATTCTCCGGGTTTCTTTGCTTATTCTCATCACATATCAATAGAAAAAATCACCAAGGCAATCCCCCGCCTTGTAGGTTGGTAATTCACACTTGATTTACTGTTTTGATCAGTTTTGCGCGTTTACAATGTAGTTCGATCATTTTTTGGTGTTGATTAATCATATGATTGTTTGATCTTTGATATTCATGTTTAGTGATCTCAATTGATGTTTAATTGATGCCTAAGTGTTTTTAAACTTCATTTGTTGTGCTCAAATGTTAATCATAGCATGTGGATGATTGGATAAGTGTTTTGGTTGCTGAAAGTGCTTTTTCAAAAGCTGTTTTTTGCCACTGTTACAGTGGTAATCGGTTACCTATATGTGGTAATCGATTACCTTGCACAATTTTCACATGTTTTTTCAATTTTTGAGCAGGTAATCGATTACTTGTAGGTGGTAATCGATAACAACTGTAACAGAATCTCATTTTTGCCTATTTTTAAGCTTGTTTGTTATTTTTTCCTCATGTAACTTCAATGGCTTGATATGTTTGATATTTGTGGATGTTTTATGAGCTGTTTAACTTCTGTATGAAGCATGTATTCAAACTTTCAATGTGTGTTTTTTCGACTCTCGATTATTTGCATTTTTGACATTGTATGATCATGATCATTCTTGCACATTCTTTGATCACATGCTACATGATTTGTGATGCATACTAAATCATATTTGGTACTGTTTTACACTTCCTTTCATGTTTTCATTAAGTTTGTTCCTCTTTGGAATAAACTTAATCTTGTATAATCAATAATTCATCCTTTGCTTCAATGATTTTGCATCCCTTTGGAAATTTGTTAGCATCATCCCCTTTTGATTGATTAATCAAATATTCGTTTCGATTAGTCGATCTTTTTTCTTCTCCTTTAGATCTTCTAGAGCTTTGTCCTCTCTTTTTCCCCCATGGAGTTGAAGATTCGCAACGCATTGAAGCACTGTACAATTTTTTTTGCCGTTGTGTTGTTCGTTCGTTTCTTGCACCGCACTTTAGTGTTAGAGAAGGAATTAGAGTGGAGAATTCCTACACTCATTTTGACTATTTTGGGTTGGAGATGACTGACCCTGTGCCTGGAACAGTCGCCTCTATCTCTTTACTGTGGTATCCCTATTTCTCCAGTCGAGTCGATCCTTGATCACTTTCACCTTTATCTCCTCTTTGGAAGTGACTCTCACCTTTCAATTCAATAGTCTTTTCTCTTGAGGCCAATCCTTTCTTGGTTCACCCAAAGTCTTGTAGTCAATTTTTTTCTTGGTTGATCAACCATTCTCCGGTTAAAACCAAATTCTCTTCTTCCTCAGGGACATCAATCTTTCTTCTCCGGTTTATACAGTCTTCCTGTTCAAACCTAATCCCTATCGGAGTTCTCAAACTCCTCTTGGTTCTCTCTCCTTCTTGTTTGGTTAATCACTGTCTGACAGTTAAGCACCAGTTTATTCTTTTCCTCAGTTAATCACATTCCGTCTGTTAATACTGAACTTTCTTTGGGTTAATCGCCTTCTTCCAGCTAATCACCCGATCTTTGGTTGATCATGGTCTTCTTGTTAAATCTAGATTTTTCTTTGGCTTAATCACCTTTTTGGTTAATCACCCGCATTTTGGTCAATCACAATCCTCCTGTTTGAAGCAATCACCCTTTTTCTCAGTTAACCACAGTCCGTCTGTTAAGATACTGAGTTTCTTTTGAGTTAATCACCTTTTTTTGGTTAATCACTCATTCTTTTTGGTTAATCATAGTCCGTATGTTAAGCACCGAACCCCCTGCAGTTAGCAACCTTTCTTTGGCTCAAATATTTCCAGCTTTGGATTAGTAACCTTTGTTTGGTTCGAATACCCTTTCCTTCAGTCAAGTGTTGTTTGTTCAGTCAATGTACCATTCTTTGGGTCACAACCTTTGCTTGGTTCCACACCCGTCTGTTGGTTGATTATCATCTACCGGTTAAAACCAACTCCTTTCTCCTTCCAGTTAACCACTTTTTATCAGTTAATATACCAATTACCCTTAGAGTCAAGCACCTCCATTTGGTTCAGTACTCTATTTCTCTTGGTTTGTCATTGTCCGTCTGTTGACACCAATCTTTTTGCTCTCCCCACAAAGTTTTACTCTTATCTTTATTCGGTTAATCACTGCTTACTAGTTAATGCATCGAGTCCCCCGTGGATCTTACCTTTATTTTAATTCTTGTCCTTTAATCCGTTAATCTCCTAGCTCTGTCTCCATTCTTTTGTTTTCTCCCCAGTGGAGTCATCTCTTTTTTTCTACATTCCCCGACAGAGTTCTTGCCTTGCTTCTCTGTTCTGCAGCAGAGTTTTCTTTCGTCTTCTTTCTTTCTTTTGACATCATTCCTTTGGCATTGCCCAGTTGGGTGTTGCTTACTCTTTTTGTTTTTGGCTTCGACGTCGTCTTTGTTTTCTTTCTCAGTGTTAGTTCCCCAAACTACGTAGGCTCTGATATCCTCATTGCATTATGAGGGTACGTAGGCACAAGATTGTGAAATCTTGGCAAGCCACCTTCCTCCATCTTCTTCCATTCTTCTGTCTCTCTGGTCCGTCCAGGTCCTCTTATTTCTTCCTTGGTTTCTTGAACTACGGAGCTCTAACCTCCTCATTGCACTATAAGGGTACGTAGGAACGAGGGCCCCAAACCTCCGCGAACAATTTCTTTCTTTTCTTTCTTCTCTTCTCTCCTTTTTATTAGCTAGAAGCCTTTAGATAGATAACCTATCCAAGCCTATAAGCAAGCGAAATGGCTTGCGTCAGGTACGACAAATTCTTAAGGTGCTAGTACCTTCCTTTCGCATAACCGACCCCTTTTTCGTTTCTCTTCCCTTGGGTTTTATCGATATTTTCCTTGTCCTTCGGGACTAAATAAAATTCAGTGGTGACTCTGTTGTATCTTTGAGGGTGCGATTCACTCAAGTATTATCCCGCTAACTTCAATATCCAATGTAACATTTAAGGAAATATGGAGTATTATATGATTATTAAAAGCTTGGTTATGCCATTTTTAGTAATGTAACTCTAGAAGTACTTGTTATTGACTTTAAGGTAACATTTAGCAACTTGGTTGCTTTAAAAATTTTAATGTGAATAGTTTTGAATTGTCTTATTAAAAATAGATTCTTTTATATTATTGTTACTTTAATATTTAACATCAATTATAATATTTTAAAAATGGATTAAACATAATTAAAAATTAATTTAAAAATAATCTAAGAAAGAAACTACATGCGGATTTATCTTTAGAAACATAATCTAAAAATTAAATTTGCTGCAACTTTACTTGTGAAAATTTCAATTACCTTTGATTTTATATGTAGATTTACCTGCGATTTAAAGTCTTACGGATATTTTCTGCAATGTTTACCTGCAACTTTACCTGCTAAAATAATAAGCCGCGAAAGCTTTCACTACTAGAAATACACAGATTACCTGCGGGTTTTCCTGCGGAAAGGGTTCCACAGCTATACCTGCAATTTCACCTGCGCCTTTATATTGTGAAACATTATTTCCTACGAAAATTAAAGTAGCAGCTTTTTTCGCAGAAATTCCCGAGACTTTAGCTACAATTTTAGATTTAAAAGTAAAATATAAAATTCCTGCGGATTTAACTGCGATACTTTTCGCAGGAATTAGTTATCCATTGAAACCACAAAACTCTCTGGAAATATGGCAGTAATTCCTGCGAAGTTTGCTGCGGAATTTGCTGTAAATGTTTCTGCGACTTTTGCTGCGAATTGTTTAGTTTATTTTTAATTTTTATTATGTTTTTACTATTAATAAATAAAATTATAAAAAAGGAATATGTTGTCGAGACATTTTTTTAACTTTATAGTAAATCTTACTTTTTCTTAAGAAAGTTTTATAATATTAATTGAGTTTTTTAGTTATTTTTTAAATGAAATTTATTTATTTAATACTTTTTTATTGTTGTAAAAATTAGAAAAATCAAAGATATAAGTTTATGATATAATTGTAAAATATAAGTTTATTTATTTAATAATTTTTTATTGTTGTAAAAATTTAAAAAATCAAAAATATTTAAAAATATAAGTTTATGATATAATTGTAAATATATAAGTTTATGATATAATTGTAAAAATATAAATTTATTTATTTAATTATATTTTTACTATTATTAAATAAAATTGTAAAATATAACTGACATATTAATTTTTTAGATTTATATATATAATATAAAAACAAACCTATTTTAAAATAATTAAAATATCAGATACGAGTGACAATAATTAAAATATCTTAAATAAGATATAATAGTAGAAACTTGTTTTCATCAATGTGGCTGTAGTTTAGTGGTAAGAATTCCACGTTGTGGCCGTTGAGACCTGGGCTCGAATCCCAGCAGCCACACATTAATTTTTTATCCACTTTATTTCTTTTTTATTCGTCTTTCACTTCATCGTCTTTCATTACAACGCGATAATAATGACTTACGCTTATTCCCCGTTTTGTCTGTTGTGGTGGAAAAATGGGGGTTGAAGCTGAAATTGAAGACAAAAAATGGTGTTACACATGGGAATCACAATCTCACATACCAATCCTCTGCTTATTCCTTTTTCCATTCTCCAAAACCATAAACCTCTCTCTCCAACACCACAATCTCACTGTTCACCTTCATTCTCCACCCACTTTCCTCACTCTCACTTCCTCCTCTTCCCTCTCCCTTAGGGTTCCAATTCCCAATGTCTTACTCGACGTCGAGCTTCCTCCCACCGTCTGCTCATTCACCGGCCATATCGAAGTCAAACTCCTCCTCTTACTCCCCATCGATCACCCTGCCCTCTAAGCACTTCATCAAACCTCGCCGTTACCTTAATATTCCGCTTTCGATTCTCGTTGCTTGCTTTTGCTTATTATTATTATTATTATTATTATTATTATTATTATTATTATTATTATTATTATTATCATTTTTTGGTTCAGATGTAGACAAAGTGTCTTCAGTTGGAGAAGTCAGATTTGTTTGTAGAAGTTGCAGATACCATTTGACCAATAAACCTATCAGGTATTTTGTTTATTCTTTATTTACCTCTATTGTTATAGACTAGTGGAGTTTTTGGATATGTTATCATTGTATGAATTTGAGCTTTAAAAAAGTAGATTGAAGTTCTTATTATTGTTATGTGGTTTACAATGATTATTTAGGAACTTTGTTGAAATGCCGTCAGCGAATTGGAGGGAGGTGGCTGACAATTGGTTTGGTGCTTGTTGTTGTTCGTTTGGAGGTATAAGTGAGAAGCCGGTGACGAGGTATGTGAATTCTCACACGTGTGCACAAGGGATGTGTCTGTTGAGCTCTACATCTGTCACTTTTAGCAAGGATGGTCTTGTGGAAAATGACTTTCCTGAGAGGTGTGGAGAGCTGGACGAGTGTGGTTATGTAGCCGATGGTTTTGGAATTGATGTTGTTAGTGAAGGCGTTGGGAATTTTGGGCTGAATGAGGAAAGAACTTCAACCTGCAGTGTTGCTTGTGAAGTGAAATGTGCTTTTGATGAGAATTCAAAGGTTGCCCATCCTGGGAATGGAAAGCTTTCTTTGAATTTTAATGAACTTGCCAAGAATGAACCTGATTGCAGTGATTTTACTCGTATTTATCTAGATTTGAATGACATTGAACACACGACCAGTATTTCTAGTTGTTGTACTCATAAAATGAGCACTCTAGGAAATGAAGACGGTGAGCATCATTTATCTTCAAATGCTAGGAAGATTGAAACTGTGGAAAATTGTGGGAAATAAGAAGTCTTTCCTTAATGGTTTTCTTGAAGATGTTTTCATGGTTAGATCATCAAATCTTTCAAAGAATATTGATTGGCATGAATTTACATGCCCGTAATGAGCAACTCTCCTTGGAGCCTACCCGTGTTGTGAGGGATGTGTGCCGGTAGATGGAGGAGTACAACTGTTCAAATGTTATATTTCAACCTGTCTGCCAGTGTTAGGATCAGGGGAAATTTTCAGGTTTGCATAGAATGACTAAATTCACTTTTATTCCTGTTGTAATTCTTTATCAAAGAAGAGAAATGGCGACTTAGTAAGTTTTATGCCTTTATGACTCGATTGTAGCTGACCGTGAAGAAGAAGATGTAGTAACAAGAAATATTGCTAAATACGTGAAACTAATGTCTCAGTGGATAGCTTGGTTCAACTTATTGCAAAAGTTGTTATTGGAAGTGAGTCAGTGCCTTCCATTAGTGGTGGCTTAGGGACTAGACCGACATCATCAGCTGTCTGTTTCTCTTCTTCAGACCTATTACTGGTTCTGTCGAATGATTCATGTTTTCCTAGTGCTGTTGGTGCAATTAAGCGGGAAGTGGGAGGCCAACGTCCTCCTGCGGAGTTAAATGTGGCCAACACTTCTGAGAACAAATCTTCTGGTTAGGACATTTATGATCATGAGTTGGTTTCCATATTGATTTATAATGTTTTTCTTTACCACAACTGGTTCTATTAAAGAGTGGAAACCAAAGCCAACATATGCAATTAACCAGGCTTCCAGACTAGCTACCGTATCTGAGTCTTCCGTTGTTTCAGCTGAAGCTACCATACAGTTGCCGCCTGTGTCTAAGGTCCTTGATTCTGAGGAAGCTACTTCTGAACTGCAGAAGAAGCTTAAGAATTTACGCGTTCCACCGTGTCAACATGTCATTCTTCCAAACCATTTGTCAGTTATTTGTGCGGAGGAAGCGAAGGAAAGACTGGCGTAAGATTTCTCACATACCCACCACACTTTTCAATTGATCATGTTCACATAAGTAGTGTCCCGGTGAGTCACTAAAATATTTCTTTCTGAAAACATTGTATATGTACATAGCCTTTATGTCTTGCCACTTTGTTTGTTCTTCAGTGTTTCATTGCATGATTGTGTTTTTTCTGTTGTTGTGTAAAATGATTAATTAGCTAGTTAGTGGCAGTATATTCTACACGACTGTCAATAAATTCTTGACAGTCCTGTAATTTTCCCAGGAAGTCATCGTGTATCCAGCATTAAGTTCATTCAGCTTGGTGTACTTTTGAAGTTTTATTATACATTCAAAATCTAAAACAATTAGACTAATAGAAAATAGTAAATGATTGATATAGCTCATGGAGTAATATAGAGGAATTGCCAAATTACTGATGAATCAACCGGAGAAATCTAGAGTACATTTATATTGACCATCATGTTTTTGGTCTTCAAAGTAGAAGAATTTGATCCGATTCTTTAGAAATTTGGGTCTTGACAATTAAACTACCGCACCTTAGCCAACAACTAGTCCAATCCAATCCCAATTTATTTTTTAATAGCTTTGTTTACACATTGCAATATCGGCTTCTGCACTCTGCATTTACTCTCACTCTAACTTGCATCGTACATCTTGATCTGATATTTAGGTAATGTTAATAACACTGAAGGAATAAAAGATAGTCCATTCCAAGCCGAGTCAAAAGATGATAGACCCAACGCTGAGTTGAGGGACAACCGATCATTGATCGATAATAAAATAATAAAAACAATGAGAAGGTGAGGGCTTCTTATTTTGTTGGGATTTTCAACGTTATTGTTGTCTCCTCACTTCAGACTTGATGAACAAGAATGATAAAGTTTCCTACATTTTTTGTGTACTTCGGTTCTATGCTTGGGATTCAGCAGTGATAAATTATGCTATTCTTTTTATGCAGACAGGGTGCTAAGGATAATGAAATAATTGAAGCTCTCATTGCCAATAGCGCAACATTTGATAAGAAAACATCACTTCAACAAAACTCGAAACAAGATGTCGGTAGCGTGGAAAGCCATTCAATTGTAAGATGCACTTCCTCGATATTCTAATCAGTTCTATCTTACTGTTTGAACAATTTATCATATATTTAAATGTTGCAGGATCCAGTGAGTACATTAGTCTACTTGGAGGAAATCTCTCCATTAGAAAATGGAGTTTCTGAGCTTGGTACTGAGAATATCACATTTCCTATTCTAAAAGCTTACAAAGCTACAAAGGCTGGAGAAAAGGCATCTCAAGAAATCCTGGACTCGTGGAAGGAAAATGGTTTTTCCTAGATATTTCAACTTAAAAGCCAAGTGTTTGACACACAATTCAAAGATCATAAAGTTGATGTATTTTTAGATTCATAAGCTAGTACTAGATCGAACTTAAAACTCGTATAGCTTCAGAATTCGACAGAGTCGAATTAACATGATGTAATCGAAGTCCATTAATGTTTAATTCAACATGTAGTTTGATGATGGAGTAGATATGTATGTCATGTAGTTATCATCATACATATGACACGGTATTCTATAAATAGGTTGTTCAGAGAGTGATTGATTGTTATTTTTATTGTAAATTTTGATTATATTTCAAAAATATTAAGTAAATTTGATTTTTAATTTTAAGTAACAAATATGAGAAAATACTTATAAAGAAAATTATTATTATTGTTACTTTGATATTTAACAATAAATATAATATTTTAAATATGAATTAAACACAATTAATAATAAAAATTAAAAACCCGAGAGAGAAATTATTTGCGAATTTATCTGCGAGTTTAGAATTTGCTGTGACTTTGCCTGCAAAAATTACAATTACCTACGGCTTTTTCTGCGAATTTATCTATTTTATCTGCAACATTTTCCTGCCACTTTACCTGCTAAATGAATTACCCATGAAGGTTTTAGCTTGGAGTGGAAAATAGCAGGAAGAATCGCAGGTAATATGTTTTCTGCGAAAATTCTGTCAAAATCCGCAAAAAAACAGAGTTTTTCTAGTAGTGTTAATTGAGAAGAGAAAATTGCAGAAAAACCGCAGATAACACGTTTTTTTGAGAAAATATTGTCAAAATCCACAAGAAATTCTACGAGAAAACAAAGTATTTCTAGAGAAAATGTGTCGGCAAGTGTAACCTTAAAACATGATAAATCTATCCTACGCCATAAAATACAACAGCTATTAGTACTATTATATGATAAATATGTACCGTACATATGGGCACAATTAATTTTTGAGGTATATGCATTTATTTGTATATAAATATTATGTTGATATATTCTTTGTAAATTAAATTCTATTTTACATGAAATATTTTTTTATTCATAATGACAAAGAAACAATTTGCGAGATTAATTATTTTCGTGTAGTAGTTTTTATACATAATCACAAACGAACAATTTGTGAGATTAATTATTTACTAGTATATGTAAGAATGAACTAATGAGACACAACAAACCATAACACCAACCTATCTATAGTGAATGTGTGATATAAATTAATAAATTGTATTACTTGAACACTATCCATATACATACTCTCTCATTTCTTAAATATAAATAAAAGATCAAAATATTGTAAGTTCCTTAATATGACAATTTAATCTATTGAAGCTCGTGTTTCTTAATTTATGCATTTTCAAATTTTCACAAAAAAAAATTTATGATCCTTGATTTGTTTTTGATTTGGGTTAATTTTCTTGATCATTTGATTTGTGTTTAGAGGTTTCATCTTAATTTTCTTTTTTATTTTCATTTAAAAAAAGTTTAAAAATATTTTCATGCATTTTTAATTGCTTTTTATTGCATTTTGGTTTATTTGCTGGTTGTTGCCTTGATTCATAACTTCTTGATCAATGTTCTCCTTAATTCCAATGGACTTTGTGTATTTATGAGGTTGGATGACCCTTCATCAATTCAAATCTATCATTAAATGAATCATTTGATTTATTTTTGGTGTTTAAAGTTGATGATAAGTTTAATGTCTTATCCCACCAAGAAAGGTGATTGAAATTAATGATGAATGGATCTTGAG